GATCGCCTCACTTTTGTTGGTTTTATCGCAAAATGCTGCAGAAATACAAAATGAAGCAAAATTAGAATCAGTTACTTTAAAATTATATTCGAAAGAAGTTAAAGATGGTGTGCTTTTTTATATTTATCTTTTTATACAATATAGTTAGATGTAAATGCCTACCTACTACCTTGTACATGTGTGTGTCTGTGTGTGTGTATGTGTGTGTATACACCCACATTCTCATACCTGAGCAATCATTTTTCCTGTTTTCTTTTCACTTTCTTCTCAAGTAGGCCTGAACTTATGATAAGATAAGCATCACAGAGGACCAAAATGCTTATTTCTATACGTTAGAGGGACAAGTAATGACAAGAGCAAATTTTTATGGAGGGCTTACTTTGTATCAAGTAGTGTCTTAAGCGCTTTTCACTAAATATCTCACGTAATCTTCACAAAAACACTTTGAGACAGGTGCCATTTCTATTATCTCCGTATTACAGGTAAAAAAACTTAGGCACAAACTACAAAATACTTTCCCCAAGGTAACACAGCTTATAACTGACCAAACTATGATTTGAACCCAGACATTTGGCTCCAACCATCTCTTAACCATGATACTTTTACTATCAGTGAGTTCAAATTATTATAAATCACACTTCTATCATTAGAACTGCATAGGACAAACTCTACATCTTGTTTTACTTCAGTACATTCTAACATCATTCTACCTTTAGGCTTTTTTTGATATGTTTCTATTGTTAGGAGGTATTATTTTTATATAGAGAGAAACTTGTTAAAATACCTTGATCGTACTCTGGAGATTCTAATTTGATACATCTGATTTGGAATTTGAAAACTTTGTTTTTAGCAAGTTCCCTTCAAAGACTCTGACACAGCCCACCTGGGATCCTGCATTTAGAACCATGGAGTTTTAAGACATATTTTATTTGGGGGCTATCCATCTGCTCTTAGGTTGGAAGTTCTCCTGACTTTTCTCTTATTTTAGAGTTTAAATACAGAGTACTAGGAAGGCAAAACTCTGTCACAAATTAAAACATATGAAGGAATGAGGGATTTTGTGTTTTTACTGACTTTCAATATACAGAAGCATACATAGTAAATGGAAAATTTTTTGTTTGTTTTAATAATCTCAGAAGAATAAGGAAGAAATGCAATAAGCTTCACTAGCTGCTTCTGTACATAAACTTGTTGCTGACCCTCCAGATAACTTATTTTCAGTGGTTTTCAAAAGTTGCTCAAGTAATTCTCATTGAGGGGGAAAAGGAAAGGCAAAGATTCAGCACCATTCCCATCCCACCCTCACTTAATTAAAATAAAGTTTCCATAAATAAAGTTTGAAAACCACTGACTTATACTCCACTAATGCTGGTATTTGGTTCACATGGATGTAGCATGCAAATAAAACCAACTATCTTGAGCCAAGGGGCTGTGACTCATTGTCCTTTTAAAGTAAATGGATGGATGGATGTGTGGGTGGATATAGATGGCCAGTCCACAGCTCCTGTGAGGGTGACTATCTTATTTATCAACCCACAGGGTCTTTTCATTACACAGATGTAGGTTTTAGTGAGAAAATATTAAAGTATTAAAGGAATCTCCAGTTCTTACACAACCTCCTGTTTCTTCCCTAAGAGTACACTTGGGGGACACAGAGCTCTAAAATTTTTTAGAGAAGGTCACTTGTAAACAGTGTGTGCCTGTAATGTAACGAAATGGGTGTTTTAACAAGCCTCTATAACTTACATATCTAAATGAGTGACATTTGTGAAATAAATCGACCAAGAACTCATTGTAATAGAAATCCCGTCATCTGCAACAACATGATCAACTTGGAGGACAGTGTGCTACGTGAAATAAGCCAGACTAAGACAATTGCTGCAGGATCTCACTTACATGTGGAATCTACAAAAGCAAACTCCTAGAAACAGAGAGTAGAATGGTGGTTAGCTGGGGTGGGGGAAATGGGAAGGTCCTGGTCAAACAAGATTTCAGTTATGAAATAAATGAATAAGTTCCAGGATCTAATGCACAGCATGATGGCTACAGATAATAATACTGTGTTGCATTAAAAATATGCTAAAAGTAAATATTAAGTGTTTTTAACACATAAAAAATAGCAACTACATGAAATGATGGGTGTATTAATTAACTTGATTGTCATAATTATTTCACAATGTATACATATTTCAAATCATAACACTGTATACCTTAAATATATACAGCTTCACTTGTCAATTATACCTTAATAAAGCTGGGGGAAAAAACAAAGCAAATCATCTAAAGATTTTAAAAACTTACTCTAATACTACTATTACACAAATATTCCTGTAATTTCTCCTTGGTAACTTCCTTCAGAAATTTTGGAATAACGAAAGAAAATTAGTTTTATTACTTTATATGTAATTTGTATTTAAATTTTATTTAGTTTGATCAGTCATCTTTTTCTTAATACTAAGTTCTAAATGACCATTGGCTGTATCAAAAATAAAAAATATTCTAAAAAATAAAGACTTGCCACCACAGAAAAGAGTCAGAAGAATATACTATTCTAATAGCTATTCCCCAAAATAGAAGCATGCATAAAATGAGTATATAATCTTCTATGACCATTTCAAGGGAAGCAGTACGTATTTGGATGTACTACAGCAGGCATTAAAAAAGAAACTCAGACACCGTATTTTTTAAATCACTACACTTTATAATTACAGCTATTGCGGCAGTGCTTTTCATTTTCTACATATCAAAATGTTCTGTGCCCTAACTCTTCCTTTCACAAGAAGAATCAAAACCAAGCCCTCTATAGGGGCTTCAATCTGGCTCTTGGAGGACTTGGCAGGCTTGGTAACTCCAGTATATTGACATTACTCCTACTACTTACATAGACCTTCACTTCAAGGGTGGTGTGTCTTCCACCACATTGCCCAATTCTTCCACTATTCCAAATACTCTGAAGAAGCTTCCCAGAAATCCCCATTTGGATCAGCAAAAATATTTTGGTGTCATCAGCAGATTTCACCATTTCCTTCTGGAGTCATTAAAACATTAAACAAGCACGATCTTGGTATCAACCCTTGGAGTTCCTACTATTAACCTCTCTCCAACTGAAGTCAAGCCATCCTCTGCTATGTTGTATTCCCATCATAGGATCAGGATGTCAGGATGTGTTTATTTGCTAAAAGTTAAACTTTGATGGATATTTTTTAACTGAAAGTTGCAAAATGCATTACGAAAGCAAAGGGAACAAATTCCCAAAGGGAAAGCCAAAGAAACCAGAAACAGGAACAGCTTCTGCTTGAGTTGTCTTATCTAAGCACTTAAACAAGCTCATATTCAACTGATTCTAAAACCTTGACAGAATTTGGACCTTGGCCCTCCAATTATTTATTTATTTTATAATTGTATGAGAAACCTTATTAAGCACATTTGGAAATTCTATATGAATTATAACCAGCAGGTTCAACTATTTTGTTAGCTTTTTCCCCTGTTTATTATACTTGAAGGGAAAAAAGCAAACAGTCCTTACCTAGAAAGTGGAAAAGCAAATAGCTTTCTCCTCAAACTGGTCTGTACTCTGAACAAGAGAATCACTCTCTTTTATTCAAGTGCAAATCTGTTTGAAGCTTTGAGGCTGCTTTCCCAGCCAGCTCTCTGCAGCTGCATAAAAGATGAGCTGTGGGAATGAAAACTAGATCTGGACTAAAAAGCAATACTATCCATATGCAAACTCATTCAGAAAGTAGTGAGGCTTCTACACAACCCTTCCCATTTCTTCCATTCTAGCTTACCCCTAGCCCAAAGGAGGAGGTACTGTACCAGACCACACCCAATCCTGTTTAAAACAACAACTTGTCATATGTAAGCAGGGGAAAGATAAGGTTCCTAGACACCCCCCTCCCATTCCTGACACAGCATCTGAGGTGTTCTCAGGATCAACCTTCAGCTCAAGGCTAGACAGAATGAGGCAGGATCAATGGAGCGAATGGGAAGACCCTCACAGGTGTCTTAAGTTGCCTGTGGACAAAGAGACTGGCAGGGCACAACAGCAGCAAGCAGAATCTACTTTACCTCTCTCACCCCAGGCAAAAGCAAAGCAAAAACCTTTCCCTAAAAAAGCCAGATCTGCTGTAGACTTTCAGAAAGTCTGGCAGCTCATCAGTCTACATGCAAGAGTGTCAGGTAACCTTATTATCCCAGCAATCTACTTAGACCAACAGTGAACCACAAAATTGAGAAAGTTCACCATCAAAATCAAACTCTGCTAGGATCAGAAGGGTATTCTCAAGGGTTTTTACTCAGATGTCATTATAACTGCATGTTATTTTTAATACTATTCTTTGGATTTTGCCCCACACAGAATTCCCAAGTCACAGGAGGACCATGAACAATGTCCAGATGTATAAAATGCAAAAATACTTCCCTCCTACTTGTGGATTCCAAGATAAACACCACAAGAAGCACGTGTTACTAAACTCAGAGCTCATTCCAAATTCAATACTGCATCATGTGGACAGTGCAGGGTTTAAAAAACAAAAATGCACAAATATTCTACACAGTTCATAAGCCAGTCTTGGGCAAGCACATGACCACGTAATAAGGAAACATGAATTGGAGAGCAGGGGTAAAGGATGAGAACAGCTTCAGTCATGCCCTTTCCCAGAAAATTGGTGCTATTTTTGGTGAACACTTGTATAATATGGGACATAGATGAAAGAAGAAACAGTATTTTTCTTTTTTTTTCTACTGATGGCCCTCAATTCCAAAACCACCCAGCAAACAGGAAAACCCTACAAAGATTTCAAAATCCCTAGCTAAGCCATATACAAATATCATTAAATACACACACACACACATACACACACACACACACACACACACACACACACACACAGAGGTAATGAATACCTAAATGCCTGGCTGGCCAGCCCAGACAGAATCCTTTTGACCTATAAAACTTGGTTCTGGACAGAGTACATGGAACTTTTAGGCAGCAGGGAAACAGGACATTCAGGTCATGTGAAAGGACTTCTACATTATTTTTATTATGTTTCAAAAACTAAAGTAAAAAAGAGATGGATAGATGAACAGATAGTGGAGAAATAGTTTGGCTAACTGAATGAGTTCAGTTTTTCTCTCACCATGTATCCTAAGGAAAAGCTTTTAATAAATTAAGATTGGAAAACGTTTACTGAAATATCTTGACTACTTAAAATTATGCAACATTTCACAGAATAAAATAATATATATCCTACATAGGCCATGAAGCATAATGATAAAACACCTATCTATGAATCCATCATCCAATTTATTGATTAGAACATTCCCAATCCCAATGAAATTATGCATGGAGCCCTCCTGAATCCCATCTTCCTTCCTCCTTCCCAATGATCATCACTACTCTGAATTGTGCATTTATTTATTCTTGCCTTTTTTAAAAATAGGTTTTACCACAGCTGATTGGAGTGTTCAAATGCATTTGATAATCCTCCCTTTGCATAGGCTTCCACACTGAGAAGAAAAAAAGAGTAAAGTCATTACCTCAATGCATGAAAAAAGTAATTGCCTGTTTGTCTATCTTCTCTCAAGATCAGGAATTATGTCTTATTTGCTGTAACTTCCCAGTAACTTGCAGACTGATAGGCACAGAATGAGTGCCAAATGATTATTTTTCAACTAATTTTTCAAATTACAGCCAAAATACGCTAAATGTTTCACAGTCAGAGCTGGTCAACAAAGACAGTATTGCTCTTTTGACCATTTCCTTTCTTCAATGACAGACTTCCTATCCCCAGTCACTGGCTCAATTCTATCAATTATCTCCCTAGTCTGCAAATCAAAATAAGTCACTACATCACCTCATCACACACTAGATACAACCTTAGGAGGCACTGTAATTGTCAAAAGACTATTTCCCCAGGAGTCATACAGTCTGGGAGAGTACATTATTACATGAATGCTTAATTTAGTAGTAATTGAGCTATACTTAACTACAAGATGCCAGTAAGACACAGCATCAATTGTTTCCTACTGGAGGACAGCATCGTCTACAAAGCAAACTATTATCAGATTGACTGAGAAGTCCCTGCTGTTTGACAGCAGAGTTTCACAACTACCTTAAAATATCTTTACATTATGTACTGAACACAAGTCTCTAGGGGGCTGTGTTCTGAAGAATAAGCCTACACCCTCAGTTATGTCACCATTATGCAATATACTCATGATTACAAATTTCTCCATCAGTCCAGAAGAACAAAACTGACAACTAATGCTGCTTCAGATTAAAATTATATTGTGTGACCTCCCCAAAAATTATCAGTGTTAGAAAACATTTCTGACTCATCTCTTCCTTCTGATCAAAGCACAAGATTAAGATTGAGAACATTTAAAATATCACTCTGGGTGTGGAGAGGAGTCAGGAGGGAATGCCTAAAGAACTTAAACCAATCATAAGACATCAATCTTAAGAGGAAACTGCATTGTTATTACAAAGGGTTTAATAGCTTTACTTTAGGAAACAAAGTTTAGGAAACTGCTTACATAAATAAGTGTTATCTCTAGTTTGGAATTAGTTCTTATATTGCAAAAAATTAAAATTAAAAAAATCATAAAGCACGGTAGCACACTACTTTACAAAACCCACATCTTCTCATGTAACACAGCTGAGAAGTCTTGGTCAAGAATCCGAACTGATTTTGATAGACCATTCCAGGGAAAAACCTTGAGAAGGTGAACATCCTTCTCAGGAGGCTTTTAGTGCTCTATTTCAAACAACTAATGCAAAAAAGAAAAAAAAACCTATGTATGCTTATTATTTGCCAGATATGACCATTTAATTTATCTCAGCCGACTTGAAAAATACTTTCACTGTTACCACTGCTCTCTGATATCAAGCTGAAGGTATGGTAGAGAGACTGAAACTATTCTTGAATGCACTGCTGGGAGAGACTGTTCAAGGTGGACAAGTGATCACAACCACGTCAGTGTGACATTCATCAAAGCCATCTACATGCTCAATTACTAATAGGGAAACATCTCCACTCAGACAGTAACAGAGACACACTCGACTTTCTCCACCCACTTCCCCCCCAACCTAAATATGAATTTTGCAGCCAAAGGGTTACACTCATCTACCTAAAGTCAAAGAAAGACAATAGTTCATAGCACTATGATGCTAATTGATTATGAGGGCATTTCTCTGATGGTGACTTGACAAACAGAATTACTGTCATCCCTGCTGTGACCAGGTGGTCCTTTATTGTTTTTTGTTTTTATTTTTACCTATATTTCTAAGGACTACCTTGCCTGAGCCCCCAAAAAAAGGAAACTATTCTTTTATCACTATCCTGCCCCATAGCATTTCTCTACTACTTAGTAACTAGGAAACACAGACAGTAGGAAGAAGGCATGTTACCTGCTAAGAGGACATTATGTTTCATTCTTAGTTTCACTTTATTGGTCCCCTTTAATTGCAGTCCATCCATACTGGCTGAGGGAAGAGCACTGAGTATCAATGAAAGACAATTGTCAACACCCTGTTCACCCCCTTGGTGGCCACCTACCTGAGACAATCAAGCACACACACTGCAATAAATCTAAGCCACCTTATTTCATCGTGTTGTAAATATTGGACTTACATGAATAAATTTACTTGTGCATCAAAAGAGGCAAGAAAAAGAAACAACAGAATGGGAGAAGATACTTGAAAATCAAATATTCACCATTATGGAGAAACACCTAATATCTTGTACACAGGCATCCTTGACAGTGGTGTGCTACAGTGGAGGAGGGTGTGTGGTGCTGTTGGGAAACTCTTCAAAGTCAGAACCCTGAATTCTACAAAGAGCCAGGAAACCTGTTAGACTCTAGTCAAAAGGCTTGCTGAAATCCCCATCTGATCCTATACACTCAACACCTTGAAGGATCCCCCCCGCGCCTCCCCTACAACACGGACACTGAAAAACACCAAGTAATGAACCGCATCCTCTGGATTCCTGAATAACTAGCCCTAGAGAAGTTCATTTTCGAATATGTTCATAAGAATACAACTTTTTTTAATTCCAGAAGAAATTTTCTCAAATAGGGGAATGAAATACAGGATATAAAACAAACAAAACTAAAATCAAAAAGTATTATTTTCCATATTATTTAACATAATGTACAAAGATGGGGTCAAGTTTTTAAGTTCAGAAATTTTACCTATAAACTCTCAGTGGGTAGGGAAAACATCTTGCTCAGTGTGGTATCCTCAGCCAGATTCCCTAACTCTTATTAAATACTGTCAAATAAATGAATAATCAAAGAAATGAACAAATGCCATAGGAACCACTCTCCTGAGGTAATTATTGATGGCATTTTACTATTCAACTTCTTTTCTACTTACCATCCTACTTCTTTTCTCTTTTTGTCTTTAGCTCTTCATTTCTTTCCTTCTTTCTCATTTTAAACCTATGTCTTCAGACTGCCACTGGCTGTTCTCACTGGCCACTGCTTTGTGAGATTGATCTCCGTGCGGGCACTAGAGCGCTAGCATTTGCTAATTATAAAGCGCCACCTAGTGGTCTAAGCTCCCTTTATCCAGAAAGTACCAGATAATTAAACTGGAAAACCTGTTAACTAAGAAACATGGTGAATTCCCAGTTCTTATGTTTCAATTTCTGGTAAGTTAGCAAAGGTCCAATTCCATTGAGATCTTTTATTTAAATTACACTTTTAATGCTATAAAATACAAATCTGATTATATTTTCCTCTATCTACAATATTGTTTCCTAAATGTACCTGATCATCATCTAACAAGATGCTCACTGGCATTTGTCTAATTGTCCCACAATCAGTAACAAGAGCTGGCAGCTGAAAGCAAGAAGCAGTACCTGCCTAAATCTGAAGGAAAGCACCAAAAATTATGTCCACATAGCTCCCCTAAGGTTTGCTAAAAAGTAGTAAAACTAGGCTGCTGCCCTCAATCAACCCTCCCAAGGACAGAACCAAGGCAAGGGAGAGGCTGGAAGTCTGGTCTCATGGGGGGTCATCAAGTGGGCACTTCAACTTTGAGAGACACAAGGACAGATGGGCAGATTGGTCCCAAGTTGGCTGCTACCAGAGCTGCAGAAGCTGAAAGCATCTGAACATAGAGATCTATGCAGCTAAGCCTCTGGAGATTTCCAAAAGAAAAGGACTAGCTAGAACAGTCCATGTCTTAAGCACAAGGCCCAAAGAAGGTTGTAGCATATGTAGCTAGACTGGTAAAAAAAAGGACTAGGGCCAGTGGAGGGCACATAAGAGGCCCTTACCAGTTCCAGCGCCTCCACGTGCAGAAGCATGAAGTAGAAGGATGGGGAAGGGATGTCCATTAGCACAGCCACCCTGTGAACAGCAGACCACTAAACAGGGACCAGTGGAGGAAGCCATGGTTACCCTTCCCTGTAGGAGTTCTCATTGACAGAAGGGGTCCGGATGAAGGTGGACACTTCCTTAAACAAATAACCATCTATACTAAGGTCTCCACATTGGTGGAAGACACTGGTATCCAGCAGAACTAGAAGACTTAGAACACTGTCTCCACCAACCACACTGAAGACATCTGATTTCCCTATGCCCACACGCTGTTACCAACATACAGGATCTGGGTCTTGAAAAGGGAGGAGGAACACAGTATCTCTTATCTAGACTATAAAGAGCCTGAGTCACAGCTCTAGCTCTATCCTGTACTGGGAGGATATACTTTCCAAAGTGTGTGCTGGCCTACACTATTTTAGTAACAAAATATATACACCTACATGCATACACACACACACTCACACAGGAAAGTTGTGGAATGTGCTCTTGCTTAAAGTCTCACACAGACTAGAATATTTGAGAAACAATACTTGCTTATATCCTAATAAACTGGACTTGCTCAATAAACTGGTTACAATAAGAATTGCCAGGACACTTGTTAAATTCAGATTCCCAGCCTTCTTCTGAGAATTATGATTTTCCAGCTGTGGGTGAAGTTTAAGAATTTGTTTTTGTGGGGTGGGGTTCCTGAGTGATTCTTATGATCACACAAATTTACGAAACACTATTCTAGGTGAACTAACTAAACTCCTGAGTATAGTATCCCTGCTCTATGAGATGGCTCTCACATATTTCCCTATCCCTTCCTCTTACTCTGGGCTACAAACAAATAAGAATATTTGCTATTTCCATATTTTGCAAACAGCATTACATCCCTATGTCCATCTTCTCAACACATGCTTTTCTTGGGATAATCTTCTTTCTTCATTTGACAAATACCAACCAATTCCAACACTTTCAACCCTCTGTGATATCACATTTACTTGGTTGTATGTTAAATTTCTTTCTTTGGGACTAAGAATTATTAGAGGGCAGGATTGATGTCCTAACTTGAACTAAATTCCCAGAACCTAACACAGAGCTTGACATACAGTAGGTGTACTATCAATGCTTGCTAAGTGAATTCACTGAAGCTGCCAGACTTCTAGATGACTATATGTAATAGGAACTTTGCTATGAAATCTTACACAACTTTAAAACTTTAAAGTAATAATCTTCATTTAGATTATGTTTTTCACCCCTTGCAGTTTCTCCTCTATGTACCTGTTCCATTTATCTGTGTATATATTACTGACCAGATGAGAAATTAGATGAGACATATACATGATTCTATATTTATGAGATTGATACTGATGTGACACAAAACTGCTACACTTCATACTATAGCCGAAGAAATACAAAGCTTATACCAAGAACGTTTATAATTCATTAGGCAGCCTTCATTAAACAGTAAAATTGGAATTTGTTTTTAACCAATCTCTAACTACAACATAACTTTAAGAATTTCATAAAAAATCCATTATTAAACTGGGCAAACATCACTTTAGTGGCATAAGTCAGTGGGGTAGAAGTCATCTTGGGAGGGTAAAATAAATTATTATGTAAGAAATTCTGTTGCTTTCTATACCTAAAGTTAACAACTGAAAGATTTTTCCCTTGCGCTAGTCCACAGTCGTTTTTAAAACAATTCTTATAAATATGATAGTGCCACACATATAAAAATAAAAACAGATATATGCATATATATATATATATGAATTTTAATTCTTCAGCTAATAATAAACAATGGTTTTCCCCTGTCCATACTCTGAAAAAACAAAACAAAACAAAAAACCTTTCTTTACTAGAGTGTGGCAGGGACTATTTTTCAGCTAACCCAACACTCAGCGCCAACCTGTTGGTTTGTCAGTTCAACTACAGATACTGAAGGAGCTAAATTCAGTAGACCCTCAAGCAATGAGGAGTTAAAGGGGCTGACCATCCCCTACTCTGTGCAGTTGAAAATCTGTGTATAATTTTTAACTCCCCAAAAACTTAATTACTGATACCCTACGGCTGACCTGAAACCTTACCAATAAAACAATTGACACATATTTTGTATGTTATGTTTTATATACTGTATTCTTATAATAAACTAGAGAAAAGAACACGTTTTTTTCAAATTATTACAAATCTCCAAAAACTTTTCCAACATATTTATTGAAAAGAATTCACATATAAGTAGACCCATGAGGTTCAAACCCATACTGTCCAAGGATCAACTCTATTAGATTTCTAAGTCTCTATTCCAACTACGGATGATCTAGGAGCAGAGTACTAAACTTTACAAGCCTCCAAAGAACACTGTAATTGTTTACTTGTATGTATCCCCTACAACAGTGTAAGTTCCTTTAAGTTGGGAACTATTTATTCCCTAATCTCTAAAGGAACTATGAAACTCTTTCAGAATGGCCAAACACATCTTGTATACATTTGATTTGTTTCATAGAGACTTCTTCCTTGGATTTTACATTCTCCTGTTCCAATCTGTACTGATCTGCTCTTAACCTGTTAGCACTGTCATCCTGGACTTCCCTTTTATCATCATCCTAGGAATTTCCTTTATCTCTCTCCAGTGTTATATCATTTTCCTGGGCTTCATGTCTTTTTTTTTTTCTGTCTCTTTCATGTCTTTCCTCTCTTTTTGATCCTTCAGTAGCTTCCTGAGGAAGAACATAGAGGAAGTAAGTTTTTGAGACCTTGCATGCTGGAAATATCATTTATTCTATCCTCATAATTGATTAACTGTGTGGCTGGACATAGAAATCTGTTTATGATAATTATCCCTCTACACTTTGCAAGCAATGCTCCATTACTTTCCAGTGTTACTTTTGTAAAGTCTGATACTCTGCTGATCCCTGTTGCATTATTTGTGACTTGTTTTTACTCTCTGGTGCTCTGAAATGTCCTAGTAATATGTGTGTGGGGTTTTTTTTTTCCCATTCATAGAGCTAAGCACTTTCAATTTAGAAACTCATATCCTTCAGTTCTGAAAATTTTCTTGTATCATTTCACTGATAATTTCTTCCATTCCATTTTCTTTGGTCTATCTCTCTGAAAGTCATATTAGAAAAGAATTAGACCTCCTATGTGGATTCTCTATTAATTTTAATATTAGTGATAAAATTATTAATATAATTTTAATATTTCTCTAATATTACTGCATCTCTTTGGCTTTTATTTTCTGGAAGATTTCCTCAATCTTCCAATCCATTATCTTAAAAGTTCTGTTTTTATATTATATGAGCTCTTTTCCCCTGAATATTCCTTTTGCACTTTCTCTTTTTCCCTTAATAGTGTAAGTTCCTTTACATTGGGAAATAATAGTGTAAGTTACCTTATTCTTGTTTCATGTAGCAATATATTCTCTGATCTCACAGAGATAGTTATGTCAGGTACTATGCTAATTGATTAACATTCACCATATTTAATCATCATAACCAACTTCTACATAGATGTCTATGTAGATGCCTAACAGACATCTCAAACTCAATACATAAAGGAGTGAACTCCTGATCTTCCTCTTAAAACGTGCTCTACATAGTCTTCCTCTTGCCAGTTAATAACAATTCCATATATCCAGTTCCTCAGGCCAAAAGTCTAGACTCCTCTTTGCATTTTACAAAATATATCCAAGCCATCAGAAAACCCGGTTGGCTGACCCTCCCAAATGTATACTGAATTCAACCATTCCTCACCATCTTCAGGTTTACTACTTTGATTAACCATCAGCTCTGACCTAGGTTACTATGAAAACCTCCTAAGAATCCTCTCTTCTTTTATCCATAATCCCCTACAATATATTCCCGAGAGAGCAACCAGAGTGAGCCTTTTAAAACCTTATTCAATCTGCTCAAACGTCACCTTCTCAATGATGCCAATCCTGACTTTCCTAATTCTGTACCTGCTTGCTTCCCTAATCCATTTCTCTGCTGCTGCTCTTTTTCTTTTCTTACAGCAATTACTATTTTTAATATGTAATTTGTTTATTGCTTTTTCCCTGACTAAAACATAAGCTACACAAAGGAAAAGATTTTCCTTGTTTTGTTCACTGATCTAGCCTCAACATACTGAAGAGTGCCTAATAATAAATATTAGTGAATGAATGAATAACTTTTATGTATGAGAGACATGAGGCCTACAGAAAGGAACTTTTCTAAGGCCATATATCCAAAACATGAAAAACCTGGT